GAAGGGTCCCCAACCACTTTGTCCTCTTAGAGGAGAGAAAGTTAGGTTTGTTAGGACTTGAGAATTCTCTGGGCTATAGTAATATCTATGTTATCCCCCTGTTTAATTTCCCCCCTTTAAGTTAATTAATTGGCATTTTCAACTATTTTATCACTTTCTTTCAACTTGAATGACCGAGGGTCATCTCCAAGAGACGAGTTTGCATACAGGGCACTGAAGAAAGTATAGTTACTCTATGAGGTTCAAGTTGATATGAGTTCATCAGATAAAGGCTGGTTGACACACCATCTTCCTGTATTTTCTTACACAATCTTTCCCCTCAAACCCTTAACACCTGAAGATTAAGAGAAGTCAGATAGTAATTACATCATTTGGATTACATCATTTGAGCACCAGTGGACCATGAGGACAGAGGATCGCTTACCATGAGCCAGCCCACAGAACACTTTGACAGTGTGAAGTGTGTAGATGGGCTGTACTAGATGTCCAGAGCTGTTCCTGACAAGATGTATGTCCTGAGATAAGGAACTTTATCTCAAGGACCTCAGTTTCTTATTCTGACAAAAGAGAAATGGGTTTAAAGATGTATCAGACACGGGAGTATGGTGCTGCCAGTAGGTCAATCTGTACCCGTGCGGCGAGTGCATCAGTAGCCTGATGGCGCCATCAGAATTCCAGATACCCCAAAATTGCTGCTGTGCCTTTGGCCAGAGCCCAAAAACTTGGGGTAAAGTTTGCCAAGAAAGAAAACAGCCAAAAGTTAGGTATGTGGGAGACACACCCACAAACCACCTCCTGCTCAGCTATATAATTGGAGGCATGGCCTCTCTGGTTCCTGATTGAACTGCTTAACGGCCATGATCCCAGAGACTCAGAAACAAATCTTGAAACCCAACAGCTTTTGGCAGAAATGTGTCTGGTCCCTGCAGTAGGTTACCGGCGCTGGGCCAACCCAGGTGGGAATAGGTTTCATGCCTTGGCCTGTTCCCCCTGGCGACCCAGTGACCGCCATCCTCCAGAGGCCACTGGACAGTCAGGTTTGGGCCCACAGTGACGAGACACGTGGGGCCTCACGGGATGGGGGAGGAGCCAGCCCGTTCCTCCCCACCCCAATGAGATCCCGCCCATGAACCGCCTCTCTGGCTCCTGATCAAGCTGCTTAACGGCCATGATCTCAGAGACTCAGAAACGAATCTCGGAACCCAACGGCTTTTGGCAGAAATTCGTCCGGACCCTGCAGTAGGTTACTGTCGCTGGGCCACCCCAGGGGGGAAAGGGTGCTGTCCTTCTGCCTGCTCCCCCTTGGCGGCTCAGTGGCCACCATTCACCAGAGGCCATTGGACAGTCAGGTTTGGACCCGCAGTGACAAGACACGTGAGGCCTCACGGGATGGGGGTGGAGCCGGCCCTTTCCTCCCCATCCCAATGAAACCCCGAGTTGCCGCCCATGAACAGCCTCTCTGGCTCTTGATCAAGCCATTTACTGCCATGATCCCAGAGACTCAGAAACAAATCTTGAAACCCAGCGGCTTTTGGCAGAAATGCGTCTGGTCCCTGCAGTAGGTTACCGGCGCTGGGCCAACCCAGGTGGGAATAGGCTTCATGCCTTGGCCTGTTCCCCCTGGCGGCCCGGTGGCTGCCATCCTCCAGAGGCCACTGGACAATCAGGTTTGGGCCTGCAGTGATGAGACACGCAGGGCCTCACAGGATGGGGGTGGAGCCGGCCCTTTCCTTCCTGTCCCAATGAGACCCCAAATCGCCGCCCATGAATGGCCTTTCTGGCTCCTGATCAAGCTACTAAGCAGCCATGATCCCAGAGACTCAGGAACAAATCTCAGAACCCAGCAGGTTTTGGCAGAAATGCCTCCAGATTCAAGTGTTAAAATTTCAGAATTTTAAAATCGCGTGGCCACTACTGCAGCCACATGATATCATATGTTATTCATAACCAGCAATAGAAAACAAATTGTATACTGTTGCCTTTTCAGCAGATCTGAGTGTTGAGGTAAAATCCCAAATAATAATGGTGGGTCTGGTGTCAAACTATTGAATGTAATAAAAATAGCAAGAGAGTAATGTGGAAATCATCTGCCCCACAGGTAGGGGAAGGGTGTGAAATGGGGTTTTTGGTGGTGGAGAATGGGCACTGGTGAAGGTACGGGTGTTTCATTGTATGACCGAGACTTAAACCCAAAAGCTTTGTAACTGCTCTCATGGTGATTAAATAAAATTATATATATATATATTAAAAAAAAAGACAAGAAGAGAGACTGGCTAAAAGTTGCGAGTTCAGGGACACTTGTCTTGAATATGATCCCAGATTTCACATAGGGAGCCCCTCACAGCCCTAGCACCTCAGTCTGTGAACTGATAGCCTCAGTACAGCTAGGCTCCAGCACTGAACTGTTGATAGTTGGCTGAGTATCACCACACGTGGACCCAGGCCCCTGAGTACTAGATTGGGAGACACCACACCCAAAAAATTTAGAGAGGCAATGAATTAATGATGTTACTAAAAACTCAAAGTTAATAAGTTAAAAACTTAATAATGTAATAAACTTTTAAACTTCGGAATTTAATAGAATTTCAAAAATTAAGCTGTTTAAAGTGGGAGAGATGGTACAAGGGTTAAGGTTCCTGCCTTGCATGTGGCCAGCCCCTGCATCATCTGGGCTCCCAAACACAGATCTAGGAGTAACCCTGAGCACTGCTGGACATAGTCCAGAATAATTTAAAGAAAAGGAAAGAAAATCTTTTTCAGAGGCCAAAGTGATAGTACGTTTTGTAGGGTGCTTGCACGTGGCTGACCAGGGTTCAATCCCTGGCATCTTCTAGGACCCCCCCAAGCCCCACAAGGAGTTATTTCCTGAGTGCAGAGCCAGCAGTAATCTCTGAACACTGCCATGTATAGCCCAAAAAGGAAAAGGCAGAGATTTAATATTATTAGATATCTAAAGAAATTGTATTTTTGCCCTGTAAAATTGATATCACTTATTATAAGTTGACAATTCATAGTATTCTAGATATGGATCCAGAATTTAAAATCCCTCCTTAGCAAAAAGATGAACTCAAGAATCTTTGTTGTGAGAGATACCTCCTCACCCCATGCCTGTCTGACTTCATCTGGGGCACCTCAGGTAAGGTCACCACCTGCCCCAACAGCGTCGGCAGCCAAAAACCTCCAGAACCCAATCACTGCCATGCTCATGGCCAATCTTCACAGGCTGGGGATGAGCCCCTCATGGATGAGAATGAATTCACTGAAAAACCCAGGTATGTGGGGTTTGTGACTGAAATCTCTAGGCTTGCACCATCAAGAATAGGTGCCCCCCCCCTCCATCTTCCTGTGCTTCCCAGTGCCAGGCAGTTAGGGCCACAAACTGCCTCTGGGCCACATATAAGCTCATTAATACCCGTGATCCAGAGACTCACAAATAAATCTCAGAAGAGAGCAAAATGCTGCAGAGATGTCTCCAGAACCCCCAAATCATCATCCAGTTCTATCACTCTAGAGAAAATTTTAAAATTCCTGGAGCAATATCTCATACTCTATGCCACCAATGTACCAAGAGTAGCACACCACATTTGATGGGTTGTAAAGTAGAAAGCAACCAATCTTGATTGATATATATGCTCAATTTATAAGTGTGTTAAGTGATCTCTAATACAGGGGCTTAACAGCTCCAAAGATACAACAATTTTCACACACTTTCCTATAAGGAAAGCTTTTTGGATCATTCATAACAAGCAATACAAAATCGATAATTTAGGATCTGCCTTTGGGGCAGACTTGGGTGGTGGTGGGAAGGTACAATGATGCTGAGATTGGTGTTGGAATATTGAATATAATAAATTATTGTGAACAACTGTATAAAAATAAAATAAAAAAGATGTATCAGATACTATACAATACTCAAGTTCTTTGGTACTTTGAGAAAATAAAAATTATACAAGAACATATCCAACCAACAACAATAACAAAAATCCAAATGATGTAATTATATATTTTGTGTTTAAAAGAACACCATCACATGGTATAATTTCATATATTTGATGTCCAAAAATTAGCAAAGATAGAATACCTTTAATTACATTTGGAAGGGGGAATTAACCAGAGTGAGGTTATATAAAGCAGCCTTTCAGATACTAGAACTATTCTTATAGTTCTCAGAATCAATACAGTAGTGAAAAATTAATTTGTCTTTTTTCTTAGCTCACCGATACGTAATTGAATGTTCTTCCCTAGAAAGGGCGGGAGAAAGAAAAGGAAAAACACACACTCACAGATTAAAGTCACTTTTGTGGTCTGTTGGTTCTGTCAGCAGTGTTCCCAAAAGTTTTTTCCTGAGTATTAAACTCTCATGGTCACTGTCATTAGATTTCCCCTTTAACAGGGGTGTGGGAAAGACTGGGTTATACAAAGGAAGCAAATATTGCGAACTTCTCAGACTCTTTAATGGACATGAGCATCCCTCAGGAAGACTGTCATAAGTAGTATTTCCTGTATTTAATTGACCACGGAACTTTTGTTTTGTTTTGTTTTGTTTGGTCTCAAAATATCTCTTCAAACTGTTGCCCTTCAGGGCTTCAGTTTGGGGAACTGTTTGGAACGTGGGCAGCAGCTGTGAGTAATTTCCATTTAGCTCTTGACCACATCCCATGGTGACTGATTAAATTTGAGGAAACTGAATCAGTAAATCATTTCGTTCAATGGGTGTCCATTCTATTGTTGGAATACCTTTGTTATAATCAAAGATTACGGTTGCAGAAATTTCTAGACAAATGAATTCTCAGAAACATAATTTTCTTGGGGAGAAACCTGTCAACTGGATTGGGGTCACATTTGTTGCAGCCAGCCCCAGAGGAAAGGCACCCCAGGAACTGTCTAATACCTCTGCATGGAAGTGCAATAATGTTCAACTTTGTAAATATGGTGACCGAATGAGCTTGACATCTTGGATAAACTGGACTGTTTTCTCTCTTTTTAGGACAGGATAAAAAATGTCAGTTCTCACTTCTCCAAGAGGAAAGGTAGAAGTGGTTCATTGCCGAAGAACAGAATCTCAGGATATTTGTTGTATCCAAAAGCTTATTAGAAAATTTACCCAGAAGCTTTTTGGGAAGCTTAACATCATCTATCTTCTGTAAGTACATGGATAAGGAGACTAAGGAACAAATTTTATCAAATTTTATCAATTTTACCACATTACAGGAAAGAATTCTGTTACTTTGTACTTAGGAGACCTATGGCAAGAAAATAGAAGAAAAACAGTCATAAGAACAGTTGATTTGAAAAGATTTCTTCTGGGTTTTGGATTCAGAAAAACTTGAGTTCAATCTCAACTTCCTTGCCCATTGATAGAGACATGGGTCAAATTAATGATAATTACCCACTTGTTTTGAGAACTTATTTTCTGCCATGCTCTGTGCTTTGGAAATATTTAATATTCTGACACTTCTTGGAGGTAGCTACCACCGTGAGGAAATGAGTGCCTGCCCTGGATCAAGTTGTTGGCAAGTGATAAAGCCTGGATTTGCTCTTAAGCATACTAAATTTTAAATTGTCTTATTGTAATATTTCATCTGAAAGTGTGTAAACCAATCAATAACTTTGATTCTGAAAGGTAACTCTACTGCCTCCAGTAAGGAATCAGTTATTGTGTCTGAAAGGTAACTCTGCTGCTTTAAAGAATCAGTAATTACTCTTAGAACATCAAGATTTATTTTTTCCTTGACTTCTGCTTGGTATGCTGTATTATGGAAGTGAGAGCTTAGTTTTCACCTCAATATGTTTATAATTGTCATCACTCCCACCTCTTAAGTTCCAGTGCTATCCTCCCACCAAAAAGACTGCTTTGTCCAGCCCCTCAGAGTATATGAATTAGTTCTTGTCTCTTGCCAGTTTGTTTTATTAATTTACACCCTGTATAGGAGTGAAACTATTTGATAGTTATTCTTCACTTCTTTCACATAGCATAGCCACCTTAATTTCTATTAATTTTATGCCAATAACTATGGTTTCATTTTCTAGTAGTTGTATTCCATTGAATAGATAAAACAATAAATAGAAAAGTCCATGTATATATTTAGGGGATATTAGATAGTTAGATGGATTCCATAGATATTTAGATTGATTCCATATTTTTACAATTGTGAATAAAGATTCCACGATTATAGGGCTATAAGTTTCCTTTTGAATGAATGTTTTTATATCTATCAGAAAAATGCCTAGGAATAATATTGCTGGATCATTGGGGTTTCCATTTTTATTTTTTAGGCAGTTTCTATCCTATTTTTATAGCAACTAAACCGGTGTACTTTCCCCATTAACAGTGTACCAGAGTTCCTTCTACTCCGCAACATTGTCATTGAAGTTTTCAATATTTTTGCCATAGGCCATTCTAACGTATTATATACAATGTGAATGTGAATTCACACAGGTGAATGTTAGGCTCATGGGATGCTAGGAATCAAACCTGCACCTTTTGCATGCAGATCAACAGTCCATTGACCTATCTTTACTCTCTGTCTTATTTTAAGAAATATCTATTCAGGACTTTTGTCCATTTTATTATATTGGATTGCTTTTTTTGAGAGTGTGAGCTCTTTTCATATTTTGGATTTAAACCTCTTGTCAAATGTATGATATGCAAATATATTCTTCCAATTTTAAGGTTACCTTTTTATTTTTTTGGCAATTTCTTTATCTTTGTAATAGCTTCTTAATTTAATGTAGCCCATTTGTTTATTCTTGCTTTTGTTTTCCTTGTCATTGGAATTAAGTTTTGAAATACATCTCTGATGTTGAGGTCCTGAATTGCATCACCTCTTTTCTTTTTTTAATGTTCTTTATGGTTTTAGATCTAATATCTAAGTCTATAGTATATTTGAGTAAATTTTTGTCTATGTTATTCCGGATCACGATCATGACCATCCTGTTGTTCGTCGATTGCCTCGAGCAGGCCCCAGTAACGTCTCCTTCGTCCTAGCCCTGAGATTTTTTTAAAAAGTGCGATATTCAAGGCTTTTCAGGGTTAGGAGAACGAGACCCATCATTGTTACTGGTATTTGGCATATTGGGTACGCCACGGGGAGTTTGCCAGACTCTGCCATGTGAGCAGGTTACATTAGGTAGCCTGCCAGTTGTTCTGGATATTAAGAAAAAAGTTTTCAAGTTTTTACCACTCAATATGAAGTTAAGTGTGGTTTCATCATACAGTCTTTTTATGTTGATATGTTTCTTTTAGTTCTAATTTACTGAGAATTTTTGTCATAAATGGGTGTTGAGTTTGGTTAAGGACTTTTAAACACTACTGATACTGGGTTTTTTTCTTGTTCTTTTTATTGACTGTAGTGTTACATTAATTATATATGTTGAACCATCTGTGCAAATTGGAAATGTATCCCACTTAATGGTAATGACTGATCATCCTGATATATATTTTTTAATTTTCTCTCTCTCTCTCTGTCTCTCTCTCTGTCTCTCTCTCTCTCTGTCTCTCTGTCTCTGTCTCTGTCTCTCTCTCTCTCTCTCTCTCTCTCTCTCTCTCTCTCCCCCCCCCCTTTTGGGCATTGTGGTTTGCAATATTGATACTGAAATATTATCAAGAATATCCCTTCCCTACTTTTAACCCTGGATCTTGTCCAGCGTTATCATTCCCAGCTATTATTGTCATAGCGGTTTCTTCCCTATATTACCTACCCTCGGCCCCACACACCCTTGTGGTTAGTTCCAACCATTGACAGTTCTCTTAACCCCTGTTTCCCCAAGCCATGGATATTATTCTTCTACTACATTTTTACATACTACAGGTGAATGTAGTCATTCTATATCTGTCCCTTTCCTTCTGACTCATTTCACTCAGCATGAAACTCCCTATGTCCATCTATTTGAGTCAAATTTCATTACCTCATTTTTCCAGAGAGCTGCATAGTATTCCATTGTGTAGATGTGCTGTAGTTCCTTTATCCATTTGTCTAGTCTTGGGCACTCAGGTTGTTTCCAGATTCTGGCTATTGTGAATAGTGCTGCAATGAACATAGGAGTGCAGATGGTGTTTCTGCTGTGTGTTTTTGGGCCCCCAGGGTAGATTCCCAGAAGTGGTACTGCTGGGTCAAATGGGAACTCAATTTCTAGTTTTTTGAGAAACGTCTCTATTGTTTTCTAAAAAGGCTGGACCAGTCGGCATTCTCACCAACAATGAAGGAGAGTCCCTTTTTACACATATCCACCCCAACACTGGTTGCTTTTTTTTTTTTAAGATATGATATCTCATTGTTGCTTCGATCTGCATCTCCCTGATGATTAGTGATGAAGAGCATTTTTTCATGTGCCCTTTGGCCATTTGAATGTCTTATTTGAGAACGTTTCTGTTCATTTCGTCACCCCATTTTCCTATGGTATTTGATGTAATTTTTGATATTAACCCCTTATCAGAAGGGTGTTTGGTGAATATACTTTCTCATTCCATAAGCTGTCTTTGTATCCTGGTCACTGTTTCTTTTGATCATCCTGGTATCTTTTTGGATTTAGCTTACCAGATTTTATTGTTAATTTTTGCCTTTACATTCTTCAGAGATAGTCTATGGTATTGTTTTTTGTATCTGTTTTTTTTTCTTTTTTCTTTTTGGGCCACATCCAGGGATGCTCAGGGTTACTCCTGGTTCTGCACTCAGGAATTACTCCTGGCAGTGCTTGGGGGACCATATGGGATGAAAAGCAAATGCCCTACTAGCTGCACTATCTCTCCAGCCCCTTGTGTCTCTTTATTTTATTTTATTTTATTTTTGCTTTTTGGGTCACACCTGGCGATGCTCAAGGGTTACTCCTGGCTCTGCACTCAGGAATTACTCAGTGCTCAGGGGACCATATGGGATGGTGGGAATTGAACCCGGGTCGGCTGTGTGCAAGGCAAACGCCCTACCTGCTGTGCTATCACTCCAGTCCCTGTGTCTCTGTTTTTTGGTGTGTGTTTGTTTTCCGGTTTGGGAATTAGAGTGACATTGGCTTCACATTTGTTTGGGTGGGATTCTCCCTCTGATTTTTTGGAAGAGTTTGAGTAGGATAGATTTTGTATATTTTGCAGAATTTGTTGGTTAAGTATTAAGTCCTAAACTCTGGTTTTTAGGAAAACTTTTCTTTTTCTTTCTTTTTTTTTTTTTTGACTTTTTGGGTCATACCCAGTGATGTTTAGGGGTTACTCCTGGCTCTGCACTCAGGAATTATTCTGACGGTCTCTGGGGGCCCTATGGGATGCTGGGGGGTTGAACCCTGGCTGACTGCATGCAAGGCGAATGCCCTACCCACTGTATTATTGCTGTGGCCCGTCTTATGGAAACTTTTGATTACTGTTTCAGTTTCTCTTCTTGTGATTTTTGTGATTCACCTATGTATTTCTTCCTGGACCACACTTGGAAGGGCGACAAAAATGAATGGCAGAATCAAACTCAAAGACTTCGAGTACTTTTTTTTACTTTTTAATTCCTGTTATTGTATAACCATGAGTTATACACCATTACAAAACTGTTCATGATTAGGTTTAAAGACTTCAACTATTTTTTAAAATTTTTTAAAAAAATTTTTATTAGTGAATCACTGTGAGGTACCATTACAGACTTACAATCTTTTGTGCTTGCGTTTCAGTCATACAATGATCGAGTATCCATTCCTCCATCAGTGCCCATTTTCCACCACCAGTGGTCCCAGAGCCCCTCCCACCACTCCCACCCCGTCCCCTCCACCCCACCCTGCCTGTGTCAGGACATGCCCTTTTGCGCTCTCTCTCTCTCTCTCTCTCTCTCTCTCTCTCTCTCTCTCTCTCTCTCTCTCTCTCTCCTTTTGGGTGTTGTGGTTTGCAATAGAGTTATTAAGTGGCCATCATGTTCGGTCTATAGTCTGCCTTCAGCCCGCATCTCCCATCCCAAGCGGGCCCTCCTCGCACCCTTTACTTGGTGATTCCTTCTCTGTCTGAGCTGCCCTTTCCCCCAGCATGTGAGGCCACCTTCTAAGCTGTGGAGCAATCCTACTGCTACTTATTTCTACTATTCTTGGGTAAAGACTTCAACTATTAAGTCAGACAAAGCTCTACTTTTTTTTTTTTTTTTTTTTTTTGCTTTTTGGGCCACACCCAGCGATTCACAGGGGTTACTCCTGGCTCTGCACTCAGGAGTTACTCCTGGCGGTGCTCAGGGGACCATATGGGATACTGGGAATCGACCCCGGGTCGGCCGCATGCAAGGCAAACGCCCTACCTGCTGTGCTATCTCTCCAGCCCCAAAGCTCTATATTTTCAATTAAGAACTAATTCCATTTGATCTCATTGCTGGTTAGCTCAGTTACAGATACAGGCCATAAAAATCTCACCATAAAAATCTGCAGAATTTCAGGAGAGAAAATGAAGAGATGGAACAGCAGATGTGTGGGAAAAGGGCTGAAAGAACTGGCAAGTTCCAGATGTCGCAGTGAAGAAGTCCGTGCGTGTGGAGGGGTGGGGAAACCACAGCCGGCTGTGGCTCAGTGTGCAGTGGCACAAAGGGAGCACGGACCCTTTGTCACTCCTGCTGCTGAACAAAGCAGAAAACAGGGACACTGTTTGGCCAAGATTCCCATCAAATATAGTTAAATGAAATGAGTTATGGCTGTGCTTGGAAAATTTCCTAAACCAATTGAATAAATGAGACATTACTCTAATGAAGACTCTGATTTCTATTGCTGGATAACAATCTTTGGACTTTAATCTATTTTGTGTGAAATATATACACATGTGTGCCTAAGTAGACCTCTTTTGGTTTAGATGGGCTCATTAAAGTGAATCATTTAAAATCCGTCCCTGAAAGCAGCTTCTCCCTTTGTCTTGGTCCTCCTCCCCTTTCTTTGTGCTCACCAGGGCTTCTTATCTCTCCTATAGAGGAGTTAATGACTAGAAGGTAATAAGAAGTGGAAATTATACATTCAAAAGGATGATGCTACAAATGTTCGATTTTTGTTGTCAGTCATTTGGAACTTGCCGTGTATTTTCCCATAGAAATAAAGTTATTTGTGACTGACTTCCCAGGCCAGTGCACAAAAGCCCATTTAATATAGAATGTCTGTGTGTTATAGTCCTGTACTAACTGTACTATAGAATTCAACCACCATCCACAGTTCCCATGAATAACTGCATTTCAAATTCAAATTGGGTTTCCAGGAACACTTTTCCCTTGCTTCCCCAAGGGGGTGGGGGCTTCCAGGCCTCAGCCCTTGCCCTCTTCCCCCCCCCCACCCCCCACTGCCATCATTACTGACTTGTATGGGATCCTGTGCTCCTGGTAAATTGTCATCTGATTTTAGAATAAGGTCTCAGAATGAAACTCAGGCCAGGGTGCTGGCATCTTGTGACAGGAACCCAAAGAACCAGGAGCTGGAAGGAGCAACTTCAGAAGTAGAATGAGGGGCTTCAGGGACTCAGATAATAGAAGTTGGGGGAATAGATCTTCATGCTACTAAGTCCTTTGTGTTGTTACTGTATTCTATACTCAGGGCCAAGGTCAACTGGCTGCAGTGTTTGGGCAGTGCCATGGGCCAGCTGCACCAGGTGGAGTCCCCTGTGCTTGAGATGTAGTCTTCAGCTTAAAATGTAATTTTCATTTCCTTGATTGAAACCTACTCAGACCTAAAGTTGGAGGGAAAAGATTCAAAAGTTCCTTAAAGAAAAAATGAAGGCAGAAGTTACCATTGTCCTTATTAATTTCTCCTAGAGAAAAGATGGCATCCAACCAAAGAAGAAGGACGGTCAAGAAAAGCATGTATGAGCAAGCACATACAAACATACAAAAAAAAAATGCAAGGATTGGGATTTCCTTGGAAAGGTGCCAACAGACAGGCATAGCACATTTCCAAAAGTTTTGCACAACTTTGATTTTCCAAGGGCTCTGTGTGTGTGTGTGTGTGTGTGTGTGCACGCGCGTGCACACATGCATGATTATGGGAGAACACATTGGGTGGTGCTCAGGTGGTGCTTCAGGCTTTGTGATCAAGGATCACTCCTGGCAGGGCTCTGGGGATCATATGTGGTGTTAAGGATCCTGTCAGCTGCATGCAAGGCAAATGTCCTACCCTCTCTACTATCACTCCAGTTCATGTTTCAAATACTGTATTTTTATTTTTATGGTTATTTTCTACTTTATATTAAGGGGTGCTTGTTTTCCATGTACCATAGCAACGTAGAGTTCTCATTAAAATATTTAAGTCATAGTAAATTGATTTAAAGAAAAAAGTAAGTACAGGAAGTACATGATTCCTCCAGCTTCATCCAAAGTGATCCCCAAGCACTGAGCCCAGAGCAGTTCCTGGAACTGTTGGGTGTGACCTCAATGTCTATGTATATCTATCTATATATGTATGTGCTTGTTTATACATGCTACTAAGAAGCACGCATATATCTTTCTATTTTCTCGGCTGTTCTTCTCCTTTGGTTGGATTCCATCTTTTCTCCTAGTCCCATTAATAAGGACAATGGTAATTTCTGCCTCCATTTTTTTGAGCAACTTTTGAATCTTTTCCCTCCAGTTTAAGGTCTTAGTAGGTTTCAATCAACTAAGGAAATGAAAATTACATTTTAAGCTGAAGACTACATCTCAATATCCAAATAATGATTTTTATAGTAAACTTTATTGTGTCTCTAAGTCATAGCTCATTTGACAAAGTGGCAGTTAGGATTATTCATCAAGATGTCTCTTGACCAGAATAAGAGTCAGTAGAAACATTTCTTCTCTTAACTTTATTAACTCGCTGGGTTGCCCCTGTAGGGCCTTCATTTCTGTGATTCTATTAGCTAATGTTTTAAATGCCCAATTTCTATAAGAATCAATGAATCCAGGCCCCTGCCCCCAGAGTTTAGAAAACAGATCAAGAATGCTAGGAGGTGAAGGTAAACTCTTAGATTAGCTGCTGTGTGTGAGGGAGCAATGTACCCTTGTATCCAGGACCTTTCTGTCTGGGCCCTGACAGCTCCATTGACAGTGGCCTTCTCAGCCCCCGACCGTGGTCTATCCTGATTGTCCACGGTTACGTCAACCCAGAAGAAATGCTGACATGGAGACAAAGGAGAAAATGTAACCAAATATGGCATTTTAAAGGGAAAGATATTAAGTACTGATGATAACTATAACACCTTTCCTATGAAATGTAATTTCTTTTTTGAGGGGTCAGAGACTCTCTTGAAGTGATGCTCAGTAGGCCTGGAGGCCTCTCTGTGATTCTCAGCTCCCCGGTCTGTGGCTCGAGGAAAGATCCCGGGGATGCAGTGCTGCTCAGGCCCAGTGGCTCAGGGATTAACCATCCACCCCAGCATGCTCACACCTGAAGCAAGCAATGTGCTGTTGGTGATCAGATGAGCACATATCTTTTTTTTTATTTTGCTTTTTTAAAATTTATTTATTTTGAATACCCATCCCTCCACCAGTGCCCATTTACCACCACCACGGATCCCAGTATCCCTCCCATCCCCCATTCTCCCCATCGCACCCTGCCTCTGTGGCAGGGTATTCCCCTCTGTTCTCTCTCACCTTTTGGGTGTTGTGGTTTGCAAAAGAGCTAAGTCTTATTTTCAGGAAGAAATGTTGGATGATTTACTTTCCATAGATCACTTTGTATATAGGAAGATGTTGCGCAGCTGCTTATGCGGCCGCACGGTTTGGAAACAATGTCCTGGTTACCTGCATGCAGGCTCATGGTCATTGGGGTTCCATCTGGAGAAGGTGGGATACAGCACCTACCCCATCTGGGACCAGATGAGCACATATCTTGCCTGAACTTTAATCCCTGTGTTATCTCCCCAGAACTGTAATTTTTTTCCTTTTTTGTTTTGTTTTTGGACCACACCCAGTGGTGCTCAAGGGTTCTGTACCCAGGAATCAGTACTTCCAGTGCCCAGGGGGCCATATGGGATGCTGGGGATCAAATCCAGGTTGGCTGCATACAAGAATACCCTACCCACTATACTATCACTCTGACCCTCTGAAATGTAATTTTCAATAAAAATTTAGTTTGTATCACCAGATGTTCTGAAATGTCTACTCTCAGCATTGCTGGCATTTTATTCCCATCTTTTCTGAAGGTCATATTCCTGTGTGGTAGATGCTGAGCTCTGCTAATCAAAGGAGGTGGGCATGGGTTCATCTTCTCACTTCTGGTTCTCTTACTTGTTTGTACATTTTTAATCATTTTCACAGGGAAAAGGCAAACCTTGCCATTACCCTCCATAATGACAGAGAGGAGATCATGGCCCACGCCATCTTTGTGGACTATCCGAACTGGAATGTCGCCCAGCAGGACAACTGGGTGTCTGTGTTCCGGGAGCTCGACTCCGATATTCCGTGCACAGTGAGTCACCCTGCAACATGCTTTTTTTTTAAAATTTTTTTTTATTTTTTTATTTTTTATTTTTATTTTTTATTTCTTTATTGAATCACCGTGGGAAAGGTTACAAAGCTTTCAGGTTTAGGTCTCAGTCATGCAAATATCAAACACATTTCCCTTTACCAAAACTTATTTTTTACCATGAAGAACCCCAATAAAACCCCACCCCCCACCCCTCCCAGTCCCTGTGAGGCAGATGAATTCTAGTTAACACTCTATCTGCTTTGATTAGATTCATTGTTTCAATAAAAGATTCACCACTATTATTTAGAGTTTACCCCTCCCCCCCCAAATCAGACATGCTGAAAAAGCATTGTGAAGTGATTTGCTTTCTACAGCTGGGTTCAAGAATTAAATGTTGGTTTTGGATTTCTGCTATTTTACTTATTGAACCTGGAAGTATTTCTACTGAAAGTCAGATAGTTAAGAAATTGGTTTCTGTGCACTGGAGACGTGGCCGTGCTGGAGAGCCGCTAGTGGGGGGCAACTGGTGGCCTCGGTAGGGCATGAAGGGCGGACCGAAACGCCCCCCTTCCCATGAGGTTTTAGTCGCCCCCACTACCCCGGCTCATACCTGCTGTCCACAAGGCTCCCATGCGGCCGCCATCTTTCTTTCCAGAGAGGAGAAGGCGACTGGGGCAACACCCTTTCCCCTCTGGACAGACCTGATGGCCTGGATTAACGCATAGTCCATTCACTTTTCTGCTCCAAGCTGCCGGGTTCTGCATTAAGTCCTTGTGCTTCTGGGGCCGTGGCCGTGCTGGAGAGCCGCTCGCGGGGGGCAACTGGTGACCTCGGTAGGGCGTGAAGGACGGACCGGAACGCCCCCCTTCCCATGAGGTTTTAGTCGCCCCCACATCCCCGGCTCATACCTGCTGTCCACAAGGCTCCCATGCGGCCGCCATCTTTCTTTCCAGAGAGGAGAAGGCGACTGGGGCAACACCCTTTCCCCTCTGGACAGACCTGATGGCCTGGATCAACGCATAGTCCATTCACTTTTCTGCTCCAAGCTGCCGGGTTCTGCATTAAGTCCTTGTGCTTATGGGGCTGTGGCCATGCTGGAGAGCTGCTCGCGGGGGGCAACTGTTGACCTCAGTAGGACGTGAAGGACGGACCGGAACGTCCCCCTTCCCATGAGGTTTTAGTCGCCCCCACTCCCCCGGCTCATGCCTGCTGTCCACAAGGCTCCCATGTGGCCGCCATCTTTCTTTCCAGAGAGGAGAGGGCGAATGGGGCAACACCCTTTCCCCTCCGGACAGACCTGATGGCCTGGATCAACGCATAGTCCGTTCACTTTTCTGCTCCAAGCTGTCGGGTTCTGCATTAAGTCCTTGTGTTTCTGGGGCCGTGGCCGACCCTGCACCATGCTTACAAGCCTTCATTTCAAAAGGGAGTCTCGTGTTCAGAGGTATAGCTTTTCAGTTGTTAGACCCAGCAGTTCAGCAGCAAGCGTACAACATCATGATGAAATAAAGTTATTGGTGGTAGGAACAGGAAGCAGAAAAGGACAGTGAAAGCCAGATCAGTAAGCTACTGGCAAAGCCCAAGTCATGCTTTGTTGATGAAAAGTGAGAGCAAAGAATTAGTGGAGTGAGAACACGTGCTTTCTAGGTCACTACACAGCATTCTATGTCTCAGTGTATGAAGCCTTTGGTTTGCTTGGAGGGCACTTCACACCCACACATACACCTTCCATCATAATAACAATAAGGCCTCAGACGCGTTTCACTCTGATTTTCATAGTGGAATCGGACTAACTCGGTATCTTCTAGCTGTAGACACATGGCAAACTCTAGGCCGATGGAAGCCAAGGCAACAGTCTTCAAGGAATTGGGATCTTGGTCACTGGTGCCAGTCTGAGTTTTCCCTGCCCTTTGCTGTCCAGAACCAGTCCAGCATCTGGCCCAGCTGGGTAGAGAGCCAGAGACTGACTGGGAGCAGCAGGCTTGTCAGTTGGTGGAATTCAATAGTGTGTCCCCAGGGGCATGAATGAGTTGCGAGTGAGTTCACACCCCACAGTTGTTGCAAGTTCACACTCAGATCCGGCCAACATAATATTTAGCTTATTCACTTGGCTGCTAGATGGTGCCTTCCTCTTGTCATTTTTGCTCTCATCCCTGACATCCATAAACCTAGTTACTATTGTCACTGTCACTGACCTCCCATTGTTCATTGATTTGCTTGAGCAGGCCCAGTAATGTCTCCATTGTGACATTTGTTACTGTGTTTGGCATATCGAATACGTCACGGGTAGCTTGCCAGGCTTTGCCGTGCGGGCGAGATACTCTTGGTAGCTTGCCGGGCTCTCCAACAGGGGTGGAGGAATTGAACTCGGGTCGGCCATGTTGGCCGCTTGCAAGGCAAACACCCTACCCACTGTGCTAGTTACTACTATGAGGAAAATTACCTGAAACTTAGAAATAGGTCACAAAGGCTCTTCCAATTCAATACTTGTGGTACCTGTGATTGGATTTTTATTGTCACAGCTCTTGACAGTTGTAGGAACAGCTATTCACTTATAAATTTTCTTCCATTTGAGATATAAGTAGTTTATGTCTCCAGGAAGAGTTGGGGTTTATGTCCCAACAGGAGACTATTTTGTAACATATACAGCAATCCTACTCTAAGATTCCCTTATTGAATTAACTAAAGTGACCAGCTCATCAAGTGTAGTGAATCTTTGTTATCTCTCTAGTTGTCTCATCAAATGATGGGTTGAATGTATCAATCTCAGACATATTCATTTTATATTTGTATTCAGACCATGATTTTACCTTTTGGAAAATTATAAATTAATAACATCAATCATTAATTTTCCCTTTGTTTCCTTCTTTGTTCTTTTAAGCCATATACAACTATTAACTATTTGAAATGTGACTAGTCTGAATAAATATAAGATATAAACAAGACTGAAAATTGTAGAAAAATCAATGTAAAATATCTTACAATTTTATGTTGACTTTCTATTAAAATAATTTTAATATATTGGATGAAAGAAAATATGTAATAAAATTTTCACTGTTTATCTTTTTATTATATCTACTAGAAAATTTAAATTATGTAAGTGACTTCCATTTATGGCTTAAATTATTTTCCTTTGGGCAGCATAGGGAAAAAGAAATTTTACTTCTCCCCAGGATGCTTTCAACTGATTAAATTATTTTAATTTTAAAGCTAAAAATTAAATCTTCAAAAATAACATAGGTATACCTTGCCTTCCTAAAGTTTGAATGATGCCACCCTGTCTTTATGAAGAAACTACATTGGTGCCTATTTTTGCTATCCAAAAGAAAGTCATAGATTTCTAGTTTTATGAAAAAAGCAAAATGAACACTCGGTATTGTTTTTGCAGCAGATGTTCTGATGGTGCCCTGAGCCGGTGGCATTGCTGATGCCCTTCCCTGGCAACTGTACGATGCGGCTGTATATTCATCCCATCATTTCTGCTTTTACTTTGTGTTCATGTCATTTTATGTCTTGTTTGTTATCTGGTATAGTTTACTAGACTGACTTTTTAGTTTTGGGAATGCTAAAATATGTTTTTAATGTAATGGTAATTGCTCCTTCCCTTCATGCCATTTTTATTGACAAAAGGTTCCATAGAATTCCTTACTTTCCCACAGTAGGGGGAACCTGAATTCCTGGTGGGAGAAATAAAAATGGGATGTAAAAAGGACAAGAAATTAACCATGTATTCTTAGAGCTAGAATTTAAGTCCAGTATTAGGTAGGATTGTGGTGGAATTGATTAGATGGGCTTAATTATGGGAAGTGTTTACATCAGAACTGTTGTTATTCTTGTTATTTGGAATTTGAGGTTTCTGTAATTTACCTTTGAGAGTTTTTAGGCGGGTGAAACAAATACAAAATTCTTGTCTGCTTATCCATTTTATGTGGATAAGCATTCTTAAAGCAAACACTGTCAAGCCGAAGGGGAGGCCAAGGCTCGTGAGAGTCTAAAAAATTCCACGAAAACTAGAAATACGTACAGCACACCTGTTGTCCAGATTTAGGTGCACTCACACATTCACAAGTCAGCCACCTCATTTTTGCATCATTTCTAGAATCTGAAGTTTTTTCCATAGTCACTGAGATAGTCTGACATTCTATGAAACTCTGTATATACAAAACAGGTCTTCCCTATTTAGGCCAACTTCTTATTTAAAAAAAAAAACCAACAAAACAAGGAGTAATGGTACAAAACATTTTTTTGGAGGGGTGTGGGTGTGAATCCTTGGAGGCACTCAGAGCTTACTCAGGGATCACTCCTGACAGGCTTGGGGAATGATACAGGGTGCTGGGAATTGAACGCAGGTTGGTCACATGCAAAGCCAATGCCTTTCCTGCTGGAATGTCTCTCTAGACCTGATACAGATTTTTTTTAGAAACTTCAAATGGTCTTGGAGATAGTTCCAAGGGTTACTATCTTCCAAGGGTAGAGTGCTTTCCTCGTATCTGAAAGACCCCAAGTTCAACTCCTGTCACACTCTGCACCCCAGGGTGCAGTTCTGGTGCTCTCAGCACCAAGTCTTTGAACAGTGATTCCTCAGGCTTCCCTGCTGGGCTGAGTGTCACCAAGGGTGACATCTGAGTACACCCTGCCTCCAGAACTGCTGGGGAGACCTCCAAATACATAAAGAGCTCATGCTTGACTTGCATGCAGCCAACCTTGTTCAATCTCACACACCCCGTATGGTCCTTTGAGCACCTCCAGGAGTGAGGAGCTGAGAGCCAAGAGTAAGCCCTGAGCACCACAGGTGTGGCCCCAAAACAACAACAACAAAACTAATGAAGATCTGAGGAGTTAACGTGAAAGGCATTGTAGAATATTGCTACTTTGACGTTTCAGTTCCCAGGTTTTCTGCTATCCCCAGAGTAATATTTATTCTGACTCTGGGAATGTTGAACAAAACAAGTCATTGGATTCATAACGTGGCATCTGCCTTCCATCCTTGAGATTCATAAGAGAGCTTCTCCCTTGTGTCACTTGAATGGGGCAGCAGCTGCTGACTCAAGAGCCCTGGGAAAGGGCGATTGTCTTTCACTTGGCGTAGACACCCCGAGGGCGAGACCACTGAGTTAATAATCGATTTCACTCCCTGCAGGCACTTCCCTGCCCATGATTTCATTTCAAGGGCAGGGAAGGAAGGACTCAGTGTGTAGGACTCATTTATGATCTCTGATTCCTTGAATAATTCTGAGCTAAGAGGAAAGTAAGTGGCAAATAGGGTCATAGATTTGGCTCAGATGCTTGCCTGGGTAATGCTGCCACTTTAAACATCAAAGACCTTAGATCCATAGAGACCAGGCAGCATGTGTCAGTTGGTGACTGTCCCATTCCCATCCATTGGGATCCAACGGCCTGAGTACTGACTCAGCCCTTAATCATGCTCTGTTTTTCTTTGGCAGCCTCTGAACACCTTGTTCATGCACCTCTTTGTGGCTGTGGATGAGTATTCCAATGGCTGTTGCAAAGAAATGTTGCGGTGAGCAGCCATTTACACGTGTGTGTGTGTGTGTGTGTGTGTGTGTGTGGTGTGTTGTGTTGTTGGGGAGGGGAGGATATTGGCTATTGATAGTGACATTTCAGATAAGACATATTAATTATATGGGAAAAATTACAGGAAAGAAAATTATTTTTAAATGACATGAAATTGTCTGTGGTAGAAATTCTCTGTTGTCTGTTATTTATAACTATAAAAGCATTTATTGTGAATATCCGTGATAGTTCTGAAAGAAACAACCTATTTCTTTAAATGCATGCTCCCTTTAGTACATATCCTTTTAGCTGCGGTCATGTGAGGCTAACAGGCAGGGCAAGTCAGGAAGAAATGGCCTTGGAAGGAGGGGAAGCATTAAAGCATTACAGGATTGGATGTTCCTATAAACAGTTTTTCTTCAACATATCTTTAGAAATGTTTATTGTCATGACAGACCGCAGAAGCATCCTGAGTGATACGGCACACTGAAATATGATCGGTGGGGCTTCTGGGGCTCTGACGCCTGCAGACCTTAGGGGGTTGTGTGCTCAGCTTTCAAGTCATTTTGTAATGTCATACTGGACCATCTCGATGTCAGGTCAGAGGTTAAGACTGCAGAAATCTGGTGTACTGTGTGAATATGGCACCCTTTATTCATTTATTTTTCTAGTGCCATGGTATTGATAAGTAAAGAATTGTTTGGAATCCAAGGAAAAGTAAAGAAGAACAAGACTTGCTTTTGCAGAGGAGAAAAGAAACTCATGTCGATTCAGGGTCACTGCATTTAGTGATGGCATTGATGCCAGTAAGGTGCAGATAGTGGGATTGCTCTGTTATTAACAGCTAAACCTCTGCCTTTCCTTCACCAGGACTGTGTTTAAAGCAGTGCCAGAGTTGCACTTCATATTTCTCATCGTGCCCGCTTACATGAGCATAGGTAAGGTCTCTTCAGTCATCTGCTGTGCCCCATTGCTAACAGAAACATGAATGGCCTCCACATACTAAAGATAAAATGCACTTACTTAACTGTAACAATTCAAACAATTTACAATGGACACCGTATTTTCTTCTGAGGTTGTATTGTTATTTTCTGATAAAGTGAGATGGTATTTTTTTTGTCTCTGTGATGTAGGCTCAACTCTCATAAACGTGTTTGATCTAGTGGGGAATGTTCCAAGTCTGGCATTCGATGAGGATTTTTCTGTGCATATATGTCACAGGCACAATCACTACCCCCAGCTGCACATACGGAGAGCCAGGTAAGATGGGAGGAGTACCTTTGTTTCCACAGCTTTATCCAGACAACTACATTTCCATTTCTGACTGTAAATTATTTTAGTTCCAATCTACCATCCACCCTAAACTTGAAAACCCTGAGTCACCATTCTCAGTGGCAGGGTTTTCACGTAGAAAACCTGTCTACTTGGATGGTAGATTCATTGACTGAAATAGTGTTAGTTGGACAGGACAGAGATGGAAATACGGGCCCTCTCATACATGAGGAGAGCTTAAGATTAAAAAGATTGCTTATCTGACAGAAAGATTAAACAAGAAGTTATTGGGTCACTCTGTGTTACAGAGATATTCCTGATTGGGTTTCCGTCACAGGGTTTCAGCGCTGTCCCTCCACCAGCTTCCAGGTCCCTCCACAGGGTCTCCAGGTTCCTTCCCACCCTCTGGCCTGCTCTGTGCTGGACACTTTTGCTTCCCTTTTTAGGCTCTGTGCTTTGCAATATTGCCCTAAGAGGGTGTCATGCATATCACTTCAGCTCCTTTTAACACTCAGTCCTGGTCCAGAGTGACCATTTCCCGCTATCATGGTCTTACTGGAACCTTCCCTGACAAAAATATTTTGAAGTGAGAAAGCAGATGTGGAAAAAAGCAGAAAGCTGAATCAGGGAAATAAGGTAATTTGAATAGAAAAAGAGGCCATTGGATATGGAATTTTTTTTAAAAGATACACATCAGACATATAGAATTAAACTTCTAACCTAACTGATCATGGAGTGAAAAAAACAATTTACTAATAGCGAAAGAATAATATACCACAGTACGTTTACATATTCAACATATGGAATACTGAACATTATGCCAACAATATAAAGAGATTTCAATTTTTCTCTTCGTTTAGAATCTTTACTTTTTATTTTGAGATAGCACTACAGATTCTACAGATGTTGAAAGGATAAGAGAATACTACAAAAATTCTATGCCAGTGAATCCAACAGCCAATACTAGAAGATCCACTTCTGGGGATGGAAGATAGTACAGCAGGTAGAGCACTTGCCTTGCTCTAGGCTGACCCAGCTTTGATCCCCAGCACCCATATGGTCCTCCAAGCACTGCCAGAAATGATTCCTGACTGCAGAGCCAGAGTCAGCTCTGAGCAACACTAAGTGTGGCCCCAATAATAACTTAGATAATGTTATGCTAATAAACCAGAAGATGTAAAATGCACATTGGGAGAAAAGGTCTGCTCTGACTCAGGACTGTCTCCCAGCCTCCAAAATCCTCCATCCTTCAATCCTGAATTGCTTTTCTTTTATCCTTTGTTCATTTGGCTTTCAGTTCTACTGTCCTCAGGGTTTGGATCTTGGCTTTACCCCAAATTCGTTTCTTTAACTCTTCTCTACCAATCTGAACCACTCAGTCACCAATACCTTACTTTTAGTCACTAGAATTGGGCTTTGATCTTATCCTACCTTCAAGTGCAGAGTTGGATAGTGGGAATCTAATGGCAAAGAATAAAATATGTGAGAGATAAGTAATTGAAGGCGGTGGAATATTTGTTAGCCTTCAGAGAAGTTTGCTGATGGAAGAAAGCAAAGAGAGGGATGAAAACAATGTAACACGATTGTATTTTTCTTTTCCGGGTAGAGCATTTTCTTTGCATTCTCGGATCCATTTCTAAAAAAAAATATAACCATGGAATAGAATAAAATTCAGCTTTAAATTATTCACCTAATTTAGGAAAAGGAGAAATTCTTTATGGAAAGTATTTTTTCACTTTCTGTTCATAGTTAAAAATCAGATATTTTTTTTGTTTTTTTAATTTATTTTTTTGGTTTTGGGGCCACACTCGGTGATGCTCAGGGGTTATTCCTGGCTCTGCTCAGGAAATATTTCTGGTGGTGCTCAGAGAATCATAGATATGGAGTGCTGGGGATTCAACTGAGGTCAACCACATGCAAGGCAAGTACCCTATCTGCTGTACTATTTTTCCAGCCCCTACCAAATTATAATTTTATTTTTGTAAAGTTCTTTACAAAATAATAACATTTTGATAATAACACATATGCCAATACAAGCCAGATAAAATGGAAAAAAATAATTTTGAGCGTAAAATAACGTTTTTAGTTTATTCCATACCTTTTAAATCTCCCCTGATTTGTGAAGTTTCTCTTGAATAAGCATCATTTAAGTAGGGTCTCCTCCCCTCCAGGAAATTATATTCTTTAAGAAGTCATATTGTAAAGCTATCTGCACACAGATTTAATTATGCTATTAGAAATTTTCGTAACTAAATTGCTTAGGGTTTTAAAAGTATTGTAGAATAACAATTACTATATCCACATTTCACTTTAAATTTTTTTCCCTGCCACTTGCTAACTAATTTGGGGGACAGTACATTTACTTAAATAAGCAATTGGTTATTAGCCCTCAGTGGTGTTCAGGACTTACTTCTGGCTCTAGGGGTCATTCCTGGTGGGCTTCGGAGACTGTATACCATGCCAGGGGTCAAACCCTGTCAGCCATGTGGAAGAAAAGTACCCTACTCTCTGCTGTTTGTCCATTTCTGTTTCAATTATTTCTTATTTATAGAATTTGTTCTCAGCTTTTAAATAATAATTTTTTAATAAACAGTCATGCATGTATTTTCAGTTGCTCATGTTTTTTTTCTCTGTACAATACTTAACATATCCTATATGCCTAGAAGTGGAATTTCTGGAATTAAACATTAAATTTTAAAAATAGAAACTACCAAATTATTCAGTCATAGTAATCTTGTGTCATTTACTAATAAAGTCATGAGTTTTTTCTTTTTTAAAACTGCATTTAAACATCCTGGTTCACAAAACTGTTCACAGTATAGTCGAATTCAATATCCTAAACCAACCCCACTATCAGTGTGACCTTCCCTCCACCTTGTCCCTAGTTTCCAACCTCTTCCCCTAAGCCTTCTCCCTTGGCAAGCACAAAATAATTTATTTTATGCTTGTTACAACAAAATGATAAGTGGAACTATTGAAAAAATAGTTCAGTAAAAGAAAATTGGTGTAAGTTTCTATATCTCACAGCGGGGTTATTAAACTCATTATCTGAGGATTTACTGAGATGTTGTTATGGTTTAAGGTTTCTGTATTACTGTTTTTGCTTATTGAGCTCATTTGGCTCCTGTGCTACTTTCCTATCTAACTTTCTGTGCTCCAACTGGCTGTCGGTATTGTGGAATTTGGAGATATCATAGCTGCACCCTTGAGGAAATCCAGGATCTGAGAATGGGGACAATTTTTAGCTTACCCCCATCTCAAGGGGGACCCAGAATATTCATCCCAAAGATTGTTGTACCTGTGAACTTCATTGTCTTGGTTTGGTACTTCTAAAGATATTAGCCATGAAGCTGTGAAGCTGAACATTGGCTTGGCAGCAACTATGGGGTGTGAGTGTGGGTGCTGGAGCTTCCAGCAGTAGTGGGGGCTGCCAGCCCCTATTCTGAGAAGGTCCAAAGAGTTTGCAGCCCGAAAACTGGTGTATCTGAAACTTTTCTCTGCTGGGCATCTCTTCAGAAATTAGTCATGAAACAGTGAAGTTGGGCTGCTTTTACGGTGGTGACCATGGGTTGTGGGTGTGGCTTCTGGGACTTAGTCGGGTGGGAACTCACCCACCCTTCTCCTGAAGGGGCTCTTGGGTCTTCAGCCTGAGGTCTACCTCACATCTACCCATGAGTTTCATTGGTTTGACTTGGTATTTTTCCTGAGAGTAGTCATGAAGCTATGAAGCTGGGCTGATTACATGCAGGGGCTGTGGAGTCATTTTTTTTTAATATATCCTCATCAATGTTGGATGCTTTCGGTTATTAAATCTGTTTATAAATCTGTTAGGCAAACTAACAGGTTATAAACTGAATGATACTTTACAGGTTACACTTTATTTTCAATTTTTAAAAATTTTTATTGTAGTTTAATATGTTACAGTAATGTTAAAGTGTATGGTTTTGATGTACAAAGTCACTGCATCTTCAACACCACCAAAGGACCCAAGACCCTCCTCCACTAGTCCTTATGTCTCTTCTAGTCTACTTTTTGCAGGATCCATTTTAAGTGAATAGAATATATAAGACATATATACATACATATGTATATAAAACATAATGTCCATAGAAATTAGCTTTGTGGACTAGACATGTGTGTGCAAAAACAGAAAGTTCTTTCAGGAAGGATCAAGAGGCAGTAAAGATGAGGGCACACATTTTCAAAAGCATTTTCTTTCATTGTAATCCATTTGGTATCTTTCTTGAGGAATATTGAAACAAATACATTCAATATAGGAATTAGTTGAGACATTATTGCAATAGAAAATCAAACATACATCTAATACTAAAACCGATATATTTTATAGTCCAGAGGCAGCTTATCTAAAACTCAAATATTTCTGTCGTTTGTAGTATTGCGACAGCTTTGCTGATCTCCTCACTGATGCCTATTTGTCACTCAAAGTGGAGGCTACTTCTGCCTGTAGGCCAGGCTTGTATGGTGGGAAAATTTGTAATAATGGTGGTGGGAAGGTGTAATGGTGGTAGGATTGGTGTTGAAATATTTAATGTAATCAATTATTGTGAACAACTTTATGAAAATAAAACTGAAAATTAAAAAAAGAAAAAAAATGGAGGCTACTTGAGGAAACTTGTAGGATATTCTCATTCTAGGTCTGGCACCTAGATCCTAAGATCTTTTGGATTTGATCATCTCCCTCCCTTTCCATCCAATAAGACCCTCTTCTTCCTTTTATGCTTCTTGCCCTTGAAAATGAGTGTTATAGACTCTAACTCTCCAACCAATGTGGCCTAGGTTTTTATTAACTTTTTTTCAACCAATGGTTTTTTAATCTGTTTGTTCCTTATCCTGAGGTCTTCCTTGTTCAGCCTCTGTTGGTAAAATATCCCACTTGTCCAATGTAAAGAAAATTTGCAAGAAATGAATCACAAGAGGAATAAGTCTCTATTAGCAAAAATATGGCACTGAGTACTTTGTAAGGAGGA